TTCCGCATATAATTGAAGCCTCGAGGCAACTTAACCCAGAGACGCATTATTCCGATGACTCAGTTGGTGTCTTTTGGGAGTGCTTCGATGTGAACATAAATCCAATTTGTTGCATATTCAACGAAATTTCTCTATCAAGACATGAACCGAGAGGGAGAAAACCGATCACACCAAAGCAAGACAATGGTTGTATTTGATCAAAGCAGAGCAGAGTTGCACATAACGAACCTGGAGGATAGTCCGGGCTGAGTAATCGTTTTTTTCTCATGCTTTCATTTAGAAAATGATGGCTCAATTCAACGTGCAGCTGAGGCCACGTTATGGAACGCCTAACAAAGTAGAGCACGTATTGATTCCATCAACAAATTCAACTCGCGTCGCCCGTCCATTTGGAAATGAAATTATCTCTTTGGTGCCCAACGAGTAATTCAGCATGCGGTGAAAACTCATCTACTGGGCTAGTTTTCTAATGAATCTCATAACTGATACACCAGTAACTATCGTCAAAATCGCAAAATCATACATTTTAATGGCAAATAGAAGCAAAGACGTAAGTGAGTATTGTATCAGATATGTTGCGTATGATGTGAGGCTATATCATATTGAACCCCGTGACTGAGTCTGGAAAAAAACGAAGCATTGAGAGGAACAAATGCGATGAAAATCGGGAGGTTGCACCAGTTTGGTCAATACCTCTATATATATACATATGTATATATATGCATATATATATATGTATATATATGTACCACTACGATCCATTGTCACATCCACAACAGCACCCAACTACAATCTCGCAAGGTACCTCTTCCAACTACTACGCCCATCATACCTGCAAACCAAAATGATGCAAAAAGTCCCACGATTTTCCTGGAAGGCATCAAGGGACTGACCATTGATTGAACCAGATGAAGTGATGGTCTCTTTCGATGTGACCTCACTGTTCACCAATATACTGAAGCAAATGGCCATTGCAATTAAGAACAAAGCTTTCTGTGGACGAACTGGTGAAACTCGTAGAACTCTGGATGGAAACCTAGTACCAATTTGACGGGAAGGTGTACCAGCAGATACGGAGACACGTTATGTGGACAATATATTCGTCATACTCAGAACCTCCACAGTAGATCAGTTCCACCAAATGATCAACGAGCAGGTGCCCGGTATCAACTTCACACGAGAGGAAGAAAAAGATGGATAACTCTCCTTCCTCGACATTCTTCTCAGGAGGCAACTCGACGGAAGAATCCAAACCACGGTCTACCGAAAACCGACCACGACAGACCGCATCCTCAACTACAACAGCAATCACCCTTTTGTGCCACCTAAAAAGTTGTGTGCCAACTCTATTCCACCGAGCAAACACACACTGTAGCACACCGGAGTTAAGGACAAGAGAAAGAAGTCGACTCTTTCAACTGTTCCTACCAAACGCATATCCCAGGAGTTTTATCAAAGCGTGCCTCAGAGGTAAGAAACAAACAACACATACAAAAGAAGGAACTTGGCTAACGCTACCCTACATACGCGGCACGTCAGAAGCCACCGAACGAATATTCCGACCGTTGGGAATCAAGATCGCCCATAAACCGGCAGCAACCGTGCGATCATCCCTTTTCAACGGCAAGGATCGAATCGGACAGCACGAATGATCAGGAGTAATCTACTCAATCTCGTGCCTGGGCTGCAACCAACACTACATAAGGCAAACAACTACACACTCGCTTACACGAACACAAGCTTGCCCTCTGACGCGCTGACCCGAGGGCACAAATCTGGAACCACTGCGCACGGACAGGTCACGAGATCGCAAAGGTTGTGGCACGAGCTAAGAAGGGGGAACGATCAATCCTCGAAGCTCTGCACTCGGTCAGTTCGTTCAACCGACACGTTGAGATAGACAAACATTACGTCACACTCACAAAACCCGTGATGCTTGGTGGACTGATAGACGTATAAACAGCACACAGGCGCACGGAAAGACGGTAATCCCATTATTTCATTCATTTCATTTACGTTTGACAACGTGTCCTAGTTTGGATCGAAACGTTAGAATAAACATTTTTCAACTCAGTGTATGCCTCCATTCTCTTTTGAAATATATATATATATATATATATGTGCATGATTTTCTGAATAGAAATAATTGTGTCCACAGCTCGTCTACCTGACTGCGCTATTCAGTCCGAATCTGAGTTTTCGCTCCCTATTCCTAATGTTACACCTTTATTGATTTCTTGGTTCGACAAACTACTGTTTGTCCCTAATGATCTTGTTGGTTTGTCTAGTCGACGTCATATCAGATGACACCATCTTGAACTGCTGACATATGTGTGTGTGCGTTCCTTACAAGGGTAATCCAGTAACTGGATGGTATCAGATTGGAAGGTGATGATTTTCTATGACTACAAATGTGGTTTAAAGCAAAAGCTATAGCAGAGTGTTGATCGTTTCCAAGTCGCTTCTGGTGATGACGACGCACGCGCCTTCAAGAAGTACTGTGTTCGAATGGTTTGCGAAATTCGATCCACCATGCCGGTCGTTCCCTGGATGATGAGACAGGGTGTGATCGATCGGCGGAGTTTACCATAGCGGACGAAGGGTTGTTGCTCGCTTCAGCATGGTCGAGCTGCTTCACTAAACGGTCTGAGCGCATGAAAGCTGGAGAACACTTCGAGACAGTATAATGCTTATTTTTGTGTGACGCAAAACGTTTTATGCCTCCGGAAACGATTTCATCAGCCATCCTATAATAAACGTTTGAGCTTTATTAGCTTGGTATAAGCCACATGGCACTCGCTGATGAGGATAAAAGGACGGATTCGGCTACGATTCACCCAACCAATGAACCAGGATAACCGATAGTCACGGCCAGCGGTATGCACCATAGACTGAAAAGTTCAAAGCTTCATCACTCCAGATTGGACAAATGGAATGGTGAATTCAGATTAAACTCACAGTTACTTGTGAGTAGTGGTGTGGGATAGTTGATATTTATTGATTTGAACAATGGTAACGCACACACCTTCCATACGATGGGTCCGGAGTTCAAATCCCGGACGGGACGGTGGATAAACACAACTGATGAGCTAGAATAAAAGCGAAACTCGAGTCTAGTGCTTCCGAGTGTATGGTTAACTGGAAGAACTGAGAATTATGCTTGAAGATGAAGTCGGAATGGTGCATCTTGTTGATTATGGGGTTCATACCGGTTGCACAACACTACCGAACCGAAAGACGACGACTGGAACGACACATTGTGCCCATGGAACTGTTCAGGCCATCCGAGACTGGTTGCCACATAATGATACAGTATCGATGCAGGCATTCGCACAGTGTGTTGTTACGATTTGAAACAGCACAAATCGACAAACAAACAATTGGCAATCATGTTTCCATTATAGTAAGGTTCGAGCTTTACCCCCGCCCCGAAATACCAGCACGGAAAGGGAACGCAAAAACAGATCATGAGATCACATACAGCCTCTCACACCCGAGTTGTTTCAACAAGATTCAATCCCGTTTGATGGCTTGCTTGCAAGACAGGAAGAGAGAATTTCGGATGGACGATGTGTAAAGACTGCCGAGAACTGAACCTCACCCCCCCCCCCCCGCCCGCGTCTCCATCTACCCGCAAAACCAGATGCATTCCAGCATCACTTTGGTCCGCGAACGGTGTCGAGCGGAAAATGTATCTGCTCATTTCGGTCGTGTGCACTAATTAAAACATGCGAATCTTGCTTGAAAAGCCTGGACCATCTCGGATTGGATAAAAGCCATGATCATGAATCGGTTGAGTAAAAGATTCTCAGACAGACGCACGGGATAAAGGGAGTGAACAACAACCACCATGTCCGTGAGATAGAGCGCAAAATAAACGGATCAGATAAACTGAACTGAATTGAACAGGCGATCGGGGATGAGAGTGGGAGTGGTGAGTGAACCGAATGCGAACGTTGTCCACCTCTCGTATGTGGTGGACAAAAGGTTCGCATGGAAGATGCGAATTGAAACAATGCGCGTGGGCCGGGGCAGGTAGAGAAAGCGCAATCACAACAGTAGCATGCGAATGGTTATTGTATAAATATTGGGTAACACGTGCGAATGTGGCGAACAACCATGAGCCAAATCAGAAACCGGGGAAAAGAAAGTCATGCCTGAAGAATTAGCGAAACCCCAGAGTTAGGAGAGAGAGAGAGAAAGAGAGTGGCCGGTAGGGAGAAAGGAATTCGGAAAGAGAACACGCGATGCACAGAAATCAATCAATCAATCAATCGACATCACGTGGTCGGACGAGTTGGACCATTTCAAATAGGATTGATGAAAATGAGATCTAAACTTCATGATAAGTGTTCATAATGAAATAGAGATACACAGAAGAAAACTTTGGCCTATACAAAATGTAACAGGATGAAATGAAACTAAACGAGGATCCCGTCCCTCCCCTGCGCCGCTGCTCGGCCCTTCGTCTCTCTCCTCATTTTTATGCATGAGCGATGAACAGAAATAGGACTAATAAAGTGCTGTACACAAGCGATTGACAGATTCTCCGAGGGTGGGGTCTCAGAGTACCCAGTCAGCCGATCAATCAGACAAAGAGAGAGAGAGAGAGATACAGGAGTGTTGCTTGGGTTGCAGATGGAATAAAATGCATAGATTGGATTCGAATAATATCTAATAATATCAGACACGTCCACACGGAGAGAGAGAGAGAGAGAGAGACAGGGGAGAGAGCGCGTGAGCGAGAAAGATGAGCGACTGACTATAACCACAAACTGGCCTGAGCAGTTAAACAGGTAGTAGGTAGTTGTGAACATGGGATTTTTGGCGTCTGTGGTGAATAGGAGAAGCTACTCAATTTAGCTTGGAAGTCGTGATGTAAACGGAGATGAATTCAAACGGAGCGAGGGAGAGAAGGTGTGTGTGTGGGATAAAACAGCTTCAGCGGCGGCGAAGTCAAATGAGAACCGGGACAGAACACACAGACACATTTTTGACACTTATTCCGGTGGACCACCGGGACTGCTGGGGACTAGGAGCAGTCCGAGACGGGTGTGAAGTTCGACCGCTTCGCGTAGCACAAATCCCAAACGGGCATGCAGTGATCGAATCGTTTCCTCGGACGGTCGATCGACCCAAAAACCGCGTGCCGGATTGTTCAGCTGAGTTTGAGAAAGACCGTGACAGTCTGTCGCGGTCGATGGGAGGACGGTGGCGATTCCGTTGTTTATTGTGCCATTCAACTCGATTTTGGAGAAACAATCGCGCAAATCGGAGGAGTCCAAATCACCGCTGGGACGATTGCCCGGTGAGGTGACCAGATGAGACGCCTCTCCTCCGGGGCCGAGCTAAATGAGTAGTGCGGGATTGGAAAGAAGAGATTTTTAAAATTTCCTTAGGATTGGCTGAAGCGACAATAACAATATTGAGGTTAGTAATAAACCAGTGGTTTTCAGAACAAAAACAATTCAGTTTGTAAATTAAATACGATGGAAATGTTTAAGATAACTAACATAGACCAGCACTGGACAGAGCTGTTTCGTCTCGTTTGGAACTGGTCAGCAATGTGTACTTTTTGTGTCCCCGTGTCAGGACTCGAATCGTGATTCTTCGGGCAGGGGCTTCAAACCCCCTTAGCCCTGAGCTACGGTGTGCAATTAACCGTCTCCCAAGGAGAGTGAAACCCACACGGCGAACATCATCATCAACAGTGCCCGGTGCCTGTGAACAATCGAATGAGCCAATCCAAACATTCACCATCTAAACAAGCTTGTAACTTCATCTTCAGGCATTTGCAGTTATGCGTATTTACATATTTTAGATAGAAATAAACGTGATTAGTTCAATAAGGTTAGATGGGACAGAACAGCAATGTTTGTCAAGTTCTATCGGGGAGGGGAGGGGGGGACCAAAACGAAATCACATGTGACGTGTCACACCATGTTGCGTCATCACGACATGACTGAGGTTATGATTCGGGTCGTCACGTAGGTTGAGGCTCGGACCAAGGTAATTGGAATGCGGCTAACATTTTCTTCTGTTTGCATACTGTTGGTTTTAGGATTTTGATTATTGTGACGTTGCTGAATGTGTTTCGATTTGTTCTTTGATGAATCCAGATTATCGCCGAGCATATAATGTCAACGAAGGATGTGCGAGTCAAGTATCCCAGACAAACTTGACTCAATTTGTTGAGAGTAATGATGTGCGGAACTGACCGACCATTGTTCAGACTAGTTACTCTTGATTAGCTCGTTTATGTTGAATACATATTTGTACAAACAACTTCTCAGAAAGAAGACTACTACTCGTGTCCAGAATGATCTCAATCAAGTACCTGAATGTCACCATCAACAGTAATCTTCGATGGTCCGCACAAGCACACGTATACACACCAATATGGAAAAACTGCGGTACCTCTCTTTTCAGGAACGCAATTCCGAACCCCACGGTCAGTCATCTGTCATCCCTCGTTCATCAATGCGTTTAACCCATTCTACTCTATTGCTCCGGTGTAGTGTTTCCCGGTCTGTTAAAACAAGACTTCAAAACGATACGTCGTGGTTTGATGGTTTGATCAGTTCTGCATCATTAATTCCGATCGATTCGTTAATCACAGAACTCATCAATGGTCACATTAACTCTTATGTTCAACTTGCAAATATGATTCTAGACAACCCTGTTCATCCACCGCATCTCGATCTATCATCCTCTTGTCGTTCCCATCCATCCACGTGCTCCTCATTTCGACATCTACTCTCTCGCATTAACATTTATAAAAATTCCCCTGCACCCTATCTGGCAAGCAAAAAAAAAGTGAATTACGTCAGAAGTTTGGCACATGAAACAAACTTCAGCGACATTCTTCACGCTGCATGCCATACGAAACGTTATATCCTATTCCGCATGATGATCAGTGAACATTTTTAACTGAAATGTAAACATATACAAGTTATACAAATACAAAAGACACGAACATGTACGGGGAGAGAATTTAGGCTGTAGGGGTGCGTGGTTTGAACACAAAACCTCCGGGGGTGATATAAGTTGGCTACCTTAACCGATGATTGATCTCCGCCAACGATCCTCACGTATAAACAAGTCTCAGTGAATCGATCTGATCGATTGTATACGCTTGTTTTTCGCTACTCTGATCTGGTTGGCATTGAGTCTGGTGCTTTTGAGGGTATGATAAACTGGAAGAATTGAGGAATGTACGTGAAGATGAAGTGTGAAGGATGGTCAGTCCTAATCCGTCCTCTTTTGTTTATTGATTATAGATAGGAATGCTCGGTAAACTTTCAGGAAGGGTGTGTGTGTGTGTGTGTGGCCATACAAAGGCTGCTGCCTGGAGAAATAGAGAAAATGGAAAGATGGGCGGCAATGGCGTGGTTCGAATTCAGGATCTCCGCGTGGGTACTTTGACAACCACACCACTCAATCAGAACCGATAAAGTCTGAACGATAGTCACAGTGATACCAGCATTCTTTAGTTGGAAACGGTTGTTCAATAGCCGAACAAGATAGCTTGAATGCATTTCACATTCAGTGAAAAAATAATACAAACTTTATGTTATCTTTCTGAAACAGTAAATGCTTTACCGGTATATCGTTCGAATCGCAACTCGTCCAATCAAAAACACACATTCGTAGTGAAACGGAACATGACACACAAGGTGGATCAAAATTTGTTCCCCTTGAGAAACGTGTCGATATTTGAGAGTAATTTGGAAACAGTATTTATTGCGCGTTCTCTCTCTTCCTTCCTTGTACAATTAAAAGCCCAAAGATTGCTGATCTTCGGAACACAAACTAATCGCCCGATTCGAGCTGGTCGTAGATAGAGGTCGAGAGAAAGAGAGATATGGTTGGTGATCAGCCAACACCCGCGTTCATCTCAATCCGGAATCTGTTCACAGATGCCTCCTGTTTGTAGACGGCATGGTCGTAGCTTCTCAACGACTGACGATTTGTGCGTGTGTGTTTAAGTGATACACCCATGTCAGATGTGAGTGCCACGGTAGCTTGGCTCACTCGAACTAATCGTTTTCAAGGTCATTGAAATCTGTTGTACATCTGCATTCGATAACCATTTTCCCAAGCTTATACTTGGTCCAAGATAAAATCAAAGTTTTATGATGAAAATTACTTATAGACTCATGTTTATCGTGTCCCCATAGGATAGGCAACATTCGAAAATGAAAATGTACAAGAGTACAAGGCCTATGGTTGTTGAAAGCAAAACATTATCATGGCCGATCTATAACACGTTCGCATCTAAGTCAAAGTCAAAGTTTTAATATGCGAATTATGTATAAGCTGATGCCTCTCTTGTCCGCATTAAATATTTACACAGTTGAATCGTTACTCGAAAAACAAAACAAATGGTAAAGTTGTTCAAATAGTTGTTTGGCAGATTTGAAGGTTGTATGTCGATTGTGAAAAGTTCAATAGCCT